CCCCCCCCCCCCCCCCCCCTACCCTCTCATATTATATGATAGATCTTCCTAATACCACAACCTCCCCTCTCATTATAAGAAAACATATTTGTGTGTTAAACAATTTTTATATAAAAATTTGCATTGGAGTGAAAATTAAATGAGTTGCTTAAAATTGAAATGACATAAATAGACTCACATAAAAATATAACGAGTTGCTTATTTGAATTTTAATGAACATTGAAAATACTCATCTATAAGATCTTTTCAAATCTTATAAATTCTTATAATATAAATTTATTTATACATAAAAAGTAATATAAATTCACTCAAATTTAATTACGCATTTTTTTTACAAAAATCTTTTAAAAAAAAATCTTATTAGTCATAATATTTTAATATGATCTTTTATAATTTATAAGACTTTTTTTTTATATGAAAAATAATCTTTTAAAATCTCAATCTAATAAATCTTTAAATTTAATCTAAATTTTCATATTTATAATTTAAATTATTTATATATTATTACATGTTAATTATTTTTAAATAAAATATATAATTTCAAAATGTGTTACAATTTTCCGCCGTATGTTGAAATATATCACACTAACAACATTATGTAATTCATCTTATAAAATTACTATGTTAAATGTAACTCCCAAGGAAGATTATCAATGCAAGACAGAACAAGAATGAAAACAAAACTCACGCTTGCTAGGCACTTCCCCTGTCGTGAAGCAAACAGAGTCTACTTGGATAAGTGATCCAAATTCACTCAATAAACCTAAACATTCAGTTTACCACGTAAGTGTACTAGGTTCCTATTGAAGAAAAATTAGCTTATAATAACAAGGTACTCTTCAAATTAAACGCGAAGTACATGTATTTGTCCTCGTAATAAATAACTGGTATCCATGTCTTGAATGGTTGCTACTACTTTATGCAAAACCAAAACCGAAAACAAACAAACAAAAATATCCTTACACCGTACTTGGATCAACAACTTGAGTATGCATCTATGAAATTATTATAGTCCAACCTATTATTGATACACAATATTAATTTATTACATGATAATGAGATGTGTACAGAAGAACATAGACTAGATCCTAGGAGAAATGTGAACCTGAAGGGGATTTTTCATGACGACAGTGAACTCTTGAATCTCCGACAAATCCACATCTCCTCCCTGAGGAACCTTCCACTCAAAATTCAAAACCAAATTAGCCACAAAATACTCCAAATGAAGCAAAGCTAAATTATAACCAGGACAAATCCTCCTCCCAACTCCAAAGGGCATCATCTTAATCTCTTTGCTCCCAGTGATATCAAACCCTTCATCGTTCAAAAACCTCTCAGGCTTAAACGCCAAGGGATCCTCCCAAACCTTAGGGTCCAACCCCATCTCCGCCACCATGAAATTCACCGTCGCCTCCTTCGGCACCAAGTAATCATCCAAAATAACATCCTCAGACACCGCATGCGGCAACACAAAGTGGCCAGGTGGGTGGCGCCGCAACCCTTCCAAAACCACAGCTTTGAGATAACCCAGTTTATGCAACTCTTCTTCTTTCACTTCCCTTTCCTCTCTTTCACCCACCACTTGTTTAATCTCCTGCAACACCCTCTCTTGCACGTGCGGGTACTTGACCAAATTCGCCATGATCCACTGCAACGCAGTGGAAGTGGTGTCCGTACCCCCGTCGAGAAACTCACTACACAGCGTCACGATTTCCTCTTCACTCAGCTTGCGCTTCTCCTCGGGCAACTGCAAATCCAGCAACGTGTCAACGTAGGAAACGACGTCGTCGTGGTGGTTTGACCCGTTTTGGTTTTGCTTCTGCTTCCTGGCTCTTATAAGCGGAAGCAACACGTTTTCCTTGTCCTTCCTTAACCTAAGCAACTCCTGCCACTTTCCGCGGAGCAAAAGGCGCGTGAGGCTGGGCCAGAAGTTGAGGATGTTGAACCTGTTGAAGCCGAGAAGCATTTGTCTCTGGACGCGCTCGATGTCTCTGACCTTGGCGTCGTTGACCCTTTGACCGAAGCACATGAAGACGAGGAGGCAGAACATGGCGTAGCGGAAGTGGGGGATGACGCTGAGGGAGGGGTTGGCTTCGGAATCGGAAGCGAGGCGCGTGAGGAGGGCGCGTAGGACCCAGGCGCGGGTCGGGGAGAAGGATTTGACGCGGGAAGGGTGGAGCATCTCGGAGGCGAGGTTGCGGCGGAGAGTGCGCCACGTGGCGCCGTAGGAGGCGGAGCTGACGTTGTGCTGGTTGCTGGTGACGAGTTTGGCGGTAGGGAGGGCCTTGGGGCGGTCGGAGAAGAGGGAGCCGTTGTGGACGAGGGCGCGGTAGGCGATGGCGCGGTCGGCGATGAAGACGGCGGGGCGGGAGGATGGGGCCGTACTTGGCGTGGAGGCTCCGGAGGATGGGCTCGAGTTCCGAGAAGGATTTGCGGAGCCAGAGGATGCTCGTGATGATGGGGATGTGGGTGGGGCCCGGAGGGATGGCGACGGTGGTGGTGGCGGAGGCTGATGAGTGGAGCGAGAAGATGGCTTTCACGAGGTAGCACACGCAGAGAGAGACTACGATTATGAACCACGCCTCCATTGTTGTTCCTTCGCTTTTCCACCACACTCAGGGTTCTATATAATTCGATAGGGAATCACTTTTAAAAAAAAAATTCGATTATATTAAAATTATTTTTTTATAGGTAAGAAAATATGATAAAATAGATATTTTATAAATACAAATAAGGTTTAAATATGAGATAAATTTATTTTAATTCTTTAAATTTAAAATAATTATTTTTTTTTTTATAATTTTTAAATATTTTATTTTATTTTCTCAAATCATTAATAATATATCTAAAAATAATAAATTATAATAATTATATAATATTAATTAAATTTAATATGATATTTTTTTACTGATAATGATATTAATAAGTAAATTTTATATAATAATATTAGATAAATTTTTAATAAAAAAATTAAATATAAAGACTAATTTTTTTTTTTTAAATTACAAAGATTAAAAATATTAATTTTTGTTCCGGTATGTTTAAAAAGTCTCACATCGCTTAGGAGTCGAGGCTAAGGGTAGTTTATAAACATTTTTCCTTCTTAACCCATCAAGCCGCCTTTTTAAGGATAAAACTGTGACGGCCCAACGAGCGCCAAAGCAGGACAAGACTTATGGTAGGACTAAGTGTTTATAAATTTGATAAATAAAAAATAATTTGAGAGACCAAAAATATATTTAAAACCTATAAATAATTACTAAAACTAAAATTTAAAGATAAAAAGAAAATAATTATTTTTAACTTATTGAAAAATTAGTTTTAATTTATAAAAAAACTATTTTATTTTCTTTTTCGTATTTATCTCTTCTGAAAGTGTTTTGCTACGTGTTTATCCGTAGATGTGTGATGCCAGACAGGTGAAATAATGCTTACAGGAAAACTGGTAGTTGAAATGTGCAATGAACAAATAAACAAAAATACATTTAAAACCTATAAATAATTACTAAAACTAAAATTTAAAGATAAAAAGAAAATAATTATTTTTAACTTATTGAAAAATTAGTTTTAATTTATAAAAAAACTATTTTATTTTCTTTTTCGTATTTATCTCTTCTGAAAGTGTTTTGCTACGTGTTTATCCGTAGATGTGTGATGCCAGACAGGTGAAATAATGCTTACAGGAAAACTGGTAGTTGAAATGTGCAATGAACAAATAAACAAATTATCATAATTTCTGTCAGTTTTTGCCTTTTTAATTTCTTTTTACTTTACTTATGAATAAATAATCTGTGCATTTATAATCCGTTAATTAAACAATTAATTATTTATCTTTATGCAGAATGTGAACGTACTGTATGTTACCGCTAGAAGATGGATGGCGAAAAATATTAAAAAAATGAATAAAATAAATAAATGAATTTTATTTTGATACATTAATATTTTAAAGGGTTTCAATATTATTTTTCAATTACATATGATGCTATATAATATTTACTAAACCAGACTACACATTCAAAATGATAAAGGATTGGAAATTGCTTAATAGTTGGAAGGAAACTTTCCTGTAGTACAAAATGTGAAGTTTTTAAATTAATATACCTTAGAATGATTAATTCCTCCTTATACTGAAATTTATCGACGATTAGTCCAATCTAATCAATATTTTTTTAATATATATAAAAAATAAATTACAAACATAAATTCCTTTTTTTTTTAAGAGAATTCTTATAGTATATTTTATTTTATTTTAAAAAAGTGTTTGATATGTAAAATATTTTTAAGATTTAATATTTATTTAAAAAAATATGACTAATCTTTCTCTTTCTTTCTTTTTCTCCTTTTCCATCTCCTTCTCTCTTTCTCTTGTATATCTTTGTTTCTCTCTTTTTTGTATTCCATTATTTTTTATTTTTTTTATTTAGATGAAATAAAATAATACATTTATATCTTTCGTAATTATTATATAACATTTTTCTTTCTTTATTTTTTTTTGTTAAATTTTGTATTTGAATAAATTTAACTATAATTTTTAACTTTTTAAAATAATTTAATATCATATTTATAATAAGATTTGAGTAAATAAATATATATAATGAGTTTATTTTAATAAAGGTTATTTTTTTTAAAAAAATATTTATACTCATGAATATATTATTGTAACAAAACATACAAATCTTTAATTTCTTATAATCTTATATGAATATTTCCAAGAACCTTCATAAATAACCAAACATATTTTAGTTATTCTCATAAATCATGACTCTTAATATTTGTAATTTGTAGGAATCATGACTCCTAGATATGAAAAAATTTACTCCCTAATAAGAACTCCTTAAATGAGATTTATTATGTCACATTATTCAGGATCATGTTTAGAAATTATGAGGGCTAAGACAAAATTTATATTCAAATTTTAATTTAATACATATTCTTTTTTTAATTTTTTTTAGTTAAGCATATGATTTTATTATTAAAATTTTTCACCAAAAACATCTTTTTTTGCATAATAATCATAAATTTATTTAATAAATTTGTACTCTACTAATTTCAATAATATTTTAAAATAATTAAATTTATTTTATAATTAAAAATTAAAAGGATAAATTGGAAGAGATGAAAGGTGAAAAAATCACTAAATATACCCACTTTAAAGAAAATCAACTAAAAATATTTTTTTGTTGAAGGATAGTTTTTAAAAAGTAAAATATTTTTGTTTAAATAAATATTTTATTTAATTTCTTTTTTTTATATAGCATGTTTCAATGTCTTTTACTCATAATAATTTAATAATATGATTACTACTAGCCGACCCTCAAAAGTGATTGTGCTCAATTTGTCAAAAGATGCGTTCAATGTCAAAAGCACGGTAACTTGATTCACGCTTCGGCAGAACAACTACACAGTGTCAGCTCGCCTTGGCCGTTTGCATTATGGGGAATGGACATACTTGGACCATTTCCCATCGCTAAGGGCCAGAACAAATTTTTGCTAGTGGCAATCGATTATTTCACAAAGTGGATCGAGGCCGAACCACTTGCTACAATTACGGCGAACAACGTTCAGAAGTTCATGTGGAAGAATATCATTACGCGCTTTGGCATTCCTCACTCCATAGTAACGGACAATGGGTTACACCAATCAGAAGCTCAACAAGTTTATCCAAGATTTGGGAATCAAACACCGATTCACATCGGTTGAACACCCGAAAGCCAATGGGCAAGCCGAATCGACGAATAAAGTCATCCTCTTGGAGCTAAAAAAGCGTTTGGGGGACGCTAAGGGTGCTTGGGCAGACGAGTTGTTGGAAGTACTATGGGCTTACCGTTGTACCCCCCATCCACAACTAGAGAGACCCCGTTCAGATTGACATATGGAACCGATGCCATGATTCCGGTCGAGGTTGGGGAACCCTCTTTTCGCCGATTACATTTCGACGAAGCCTCCAATGACGCATCGCTTAGGGCGAAAGTTGACACGGTGGACGAGGTACGCCACAAAGCATGTATCGTCGCCGAAGCTTGTCGGCAGAGAATGACTCGAAGATTTAATTCAAATCTCAGTATAAGAAGCTTCTCAGAGGGGGACTTGGTATGGAGAGCACAAGGGTCGGCTAGGAAGAGCCCAAGAGAAGGAAAGTTAGCTGCTAACTGGGACGGCCCATTCAGAATCCGACACAACCTCCTCAATGGAGCATATAAGCTGGAGGACCTTTCGGGAAATGTCATCCCTAGAACCTGGAATGCAACTCACCTGAAGAAGTACTATAGTTAGAAATTTGTTTTTTGCTTATGTATACGAAAAGCTTTGTACCGATACCTACGTGCACTCTTTTCCTCGGTCGGTCTTTTCTCCCCTTATAAAAAAGTGAAAAGGGGTTTTGGCCGATCAGGTTTTTAACGAGGCACATCTCAATCAAGAATACTTCATACATATTCTGTGTTTTTACTCCTTATTAAAAGCAATCTTAAAAGGCTTCCCTCCCGAGTGACACCACTCGGCCAAGGATGTGTCTTCAGTAATCGTACAAAAAGGCTTCCCTCTCGAGTGACTCTACTCGGCCAAAGATGTGCCTCCGGAATCCGTACAGAGAGGCTTCCCTCCCGAGTGACCCCACTCAGCCAAGGACGTGCCTTTGGAAATCGTACAAAGAGGCTTCCCTCCCGAGTGACCCCACTCGGCCAAGGATGTACCTTCGAAATCCGTACAAAGAGGCTTCCCTCCCGAGTAACCCCACTCGGCCAAGGATGTGCCTTCGGAATCCGTACAAAGAGGCTTCCCTCCGGAGTAACCCCACTCGGCCAAGGATGTGCCTTCGAAATTCGTACAAAGAGGCTTCCCTCCCGAGTAACCCCACTCGGCCAAGGATGTGCCTTCGGAATTCGTACAACAAGCAAGCATTTCCGAGCGAACCCACTCGGTTTTTCTCATAAAAGCAAGCATTTCCGAGTGAACCCACTCGGTTTTGCTCATGAAAGCAAGCATTTCCGAGTGAACCCACTCGGTTTCGCTAAAAAAGCAAGCATTTCTGAGTGAACCCACTCGGTTTAGCTCATGATAGCAAGCATTTCCGAGTGAACCCACTCGGTTTTGCTCATGAAAGCAAGCATTTACGAGTGAACCCATTCGGTTTTTCTCATGAAAGCAAACATTTTCGAGTGAACCCACTCGGCCCTGCTCATGAAAGCAAGCATTTCCGAGTGAACCCACTCGGTTTTGCTCAAAAAGCAAGCATTTCCGAGTGAATCCACTCGGCCCTGCTCATGAAAGCAAACATTTCTGAGTGAACCCACTCGACCCTGCTCATGAAAGCAAGCATTTCCGAGTGAATCCACTCGGCCCTACTCATGAAAGCAAGCATTTCCAAGTGACCCCACTCAGTTTTTCTTGATGAAAATGTCTATCCCGAAACAATCCCACTCGGCCCTTACCGAAACATCTCCAATTGATTATTAACTTAATCAATATGTAATATCAAACAACCCAATTCAACCAATGGTTTACGCAAACTCTCCACTTACCATATTATACAATTCAGATAGACAAGACTATTTTGGCATACAAGCATTATACAATTGGCAAAAGTTACTTTTCATTGATAAAAGAGAAGGCTCTCTCGGCCTTTAATACA